CTGTGGGCGGTCGGGACTGTGGGGGGACGGGACCGTGGGAAGTCTGTCTCCCGTTGATGAATGAGCCCCCCGATCACTTACCTGGCTGCCGCCCTCCTCTCGGCACACTGGATGAGTTCCCCAGGAAGACACTGGCAGACTTGTTCTTGTGTGTGTAAAAGGTGAGAACCTCCTCCAGGTCATTCTCACTGAAAGACACGGAACAACCTCAGAGAACACGCAGAGTGACACGGAACAACCTCAGAGAACACGCAGAGTGACACGGAACAACCTCAGAGAACACGCAGAGTGACACGGAACAACCTCAGAGAACACGCAGAGTGACACGGAACAACCTCAGAGAACACGCAGAGTGACACTAAGCCAATTATTCTCACCTGGCTTCAGATATGAAAGACTGAAAATCCCCGGAGTCCACGACGTTACCTGAACCGTCTGCAGAGCTCATCTCCCGTGTCTCCTACAACAAGGAACAAAGGAAGTGACACAAGAGACAAGGAGGATTCTGGGTACAGGGAATAGGACACAGCGGAGGATTCTGGGTACAGGGAATAGGACACAGCGGAGGATTCTGGGTACAGGGAATAGGATACAGCGGAGGATTCTGGGTACAGGGAATAGGACACAGAGGAGGATTCTGGGTACAGGGAATAGGATACAGAGGAGGATTCTGGGTACAGGGAATAGGACACAGAGGAGGATTCTGGGTACAGGGAATAGGATACAGCGGAGGATTCTGGGTACAGGGAATAGGATACAGTGGAGGATTCTGGGTACAGGGAATAGGACACAGAGGAGGATTCTGGGTACAGGGAATAGGATACAGAGGAGGATTCTGGGTATTGCACACAGTCACCTGGTTGTACAAGGAGATGAAGTCAGCGAGCTGATTGGCCAGCAGTTGGCGTCTCTCGTGGAGCGGTAGGGAGCGGCCGGGGAGGGTCAGACGCACGGAACGCTGCAAGTTACCGGCTGCACGCTGCAGAAACCTCATCACCAGCTCCTGCAACACGCGACATGTGTCAGACACGGCCACAGAAATCTGCCACGCCCCACTGACACCAGACACTCACCATTTGCTCCTCCTCTTTGGGGAGTGGCTTCTCCGAGTCTTGTTGGCTCTGGAGGCGGCTCTGGACTCGCTGCAGGGATG